ATGGGGATCTAGAAATAATGTGAAACGGGGTGCGTTAAATTGTTTTTAACCTTAAACGTTTACAATTTAATAAATATATATTTCTGAGAGCACTTCAAATTTAAATAGTAATATTTCCAACAAAATGTGTTGACAATTTACCAAATCAAACATCGATCACTCAACAAAATACAATTAATATACATAAAAATAAAAACTTAACTATCCAATTAACTTCTTTCTTAAACGAATTTAAAACTCTCATCAACCAGATTCTGACAACTGTCATTGACAAATTAATTTTAAAAATTGTCAACTAACCGAAATGTCATCTATATCCTTTATCAATAATATTATTATTAAACGACAAACGGATTACTGAATATACAACAATGAGCTTCAATATTTGCTATACGATAAAAAAATTAAAATCGCGTTAATTACAACAAAAAAAAAACTCATTCAACACAAAAAAAATGTATAAATTAAAAATAAAATTGATATTGAAGTACTGTTAGATAACGGACCAATCTTTGAATTCTTTATTTATAATCTTCATTTTATTTTAAAATTTACTTATCATGCACAGTTAGGTACTTAGATGCATATAGATTATTTATATTGTAAATATTTTATCAATACAAATAAATATACCCATATTATTTGATAACATTTAAGATTTAACTTATATAACTTTTACTAAATAATTCAAGTTTCAATCAATGCGGTTTAATGATTAAAACGGTGAAATGATGGACGTTAAAAACAATGAATTTCTGCACAGTTTCCACAGGTTTATATTAAATCACATAATACAGTTTTTACACTGTGTGGCGATGAAAGTAAAAGTGTTAATCTAAACATCTTCTCGTAACTTGTGATTTAACACACTTACTCCGTAAGTGTATAATTTGATTTCGAAATGTGAATATTAATGTATTATCGAACAACTACTCCTGGCTGTAGAATCATAATGAAAATAAAATATTATTTACAAGTAGTATATAAGACATACTGAAACGCATACACGACTGTCGATTTGTTCCACTGTGTACGCGCAATACGGTAAATGTATAAATTAATTATTATACGTTTCCAACCGTGATGAACGTGATTATTTCATCGGATTATCGGCATAGGTACCTAGATTATAGTATACAGGAAACTCGTTCAGTGGAAAAACGACGGAAACTCCATTTTTCGTATGTGTATGCTTGTCCTATATAAACATATTATCGTTGTACCTGTATATAATACTATATACTAATGCTGCCGACGAATCGTTTGATAATAATATTATAGGATTGGACGAAACGATTTGTACTGTCAACGCCTGAGGATTAAACGCTATAATATTAGTGAGTGTGTGAAATCAAAGGGCCCCCCATAAAATAAAATCAACATTATCTGCCGTGGCAATATTATAACCGTTGTTGTAACGCGTATTAGACGACGGTGTGCAGTGCACGAGTTCGAATGTATACATAAAAAATGTTATTATACAACACGTCGCGGCTACTAGGGGGACGTCCAGTGTTTAATTTTTCCTTTTTTCATAACCCGGTGCGTCCTCGGTCCGAAGCCAAATCTTTTAAGTAACAGATCCGACGGTCATCGACTATTATTATGAGTTCCAAATATGAGTATTTATATTAGTAGATTCATCCAAACTTAAAATGTGTGAAAAATGGTTGTATACCTGAGCCAAAATAATAAAATTAATACAAGATAACCTAATATTTTTGAGTTGTAGGCCAGCTCACTGCTTCGTAGTGCACCCGGCAGGGTAACATAAATGAATTGGAACACATTCGGGGTGGGTCAAAATACGATATCTTCTTCTTGGTACGCACTCACTCGATGATACCTTTTATTCCGGACGTATTCAGGAAATTAAATAAAGGTCATTTCGGGATGGACTCAGGATGATAACCGTCATCTCGTCGGATTGAAATAGACACAGACAATATAATATACGCTGTGATAATGAGCATACATGATGCATGAGTGCATAATTGCAGATCTATACTCTAACTGCAGTTCGCGCGACCAGACAGGCTGAGATGTGCATCGGATTTAATTGTAGATAGATACGTAAATACCGAATAACGGTGTGTACCTATATTAGTATGATGTACGCTATTATCGTACACGAAATTTAGGAGGGGTTGGGGCTTGGTAAAACAAATAGAACAGTGGTGTAACTATGAGGGGATATGAGGGTCATATAATTTTGAACACAACACATCATGCATAATATGAATATATTATGTACATACTGAATATGTCTATTAAAATCGTTATATGCACCTCCCCCCTCCCCCGTGAAAAAATTCTAGATACGCTACTAAAATAGAACACCTGATATTTTTCGGTTTTGATTTAATGTTGATAAATGTAAGTTAATATAAGAGAGAACAAATAAACCATTATTATATAACATTTATATACGATAGTTGAAAATGCAATGAGTGGTAAGAGGGCGCGAAATGGCTCATCCTTTAATCTGTGATCGACAGTCCAACTGAAAAATAGTGGTCGCCACTTGTCATAACTACCAGTTTTTAGCTTACGTCAATTGGTCGTGGTACAAATTTGTTGTTTATTTTATGCTGATAAGTTGAAAACCTTTTTTGTCGCTATAATTGATTTAAGAACGGCAAAACAAGGTTTACAAAATATGTACATTGATCATTTTTATTATAGGTATAATTTAATATATGGCTTATTTATTACTATATAATTTAATACACAAACTTTGCTGAATATATTTTGTCGGTGCAATAGATGCACTTTTAAGAAAAATAATAATAAATTCAGCAAATGATATTACATTTTGCAGACATATTGTTATTTTATTATTTTTTCATGATTTACAATAAATTTACTCGTTTTAGAAAAAAAGAACAGACCAAAAAATAACAATAATATTGTGTACCCACTATCCAGACACATGACTCCGGACTCGTCACTCGACGGCATTATATTATTATTACTTTGGTAGTGTAAGCATGTAATGCGAACATTTAAGTAATTAATTTCTCGCTTTCCGTTTAATTATTATTATTCCGTTCGTTTCGGCCGTCGTGTCTGGAACGTCTCGCATGTCACAATGGATCGTATACACGTATTGCGAACGTTACAGTGCATTTTACCAAAGATAAAATATTTTAATATAATAACTACACAGGTAACGCGTGCACATTATATTAGAATAAAGCGTTTTTAATATATTTTATTCCGAAAACGTTCCAGTTCATTCGCCTACGATGTAAACACGTGCCATAAATTATTATATATTTACATATATATAATGTATATATCAGGTATACCTAACGCCTACAAAAACAGTGAAATCATGTAATAACGTATATTTATTTATTAAATTATGCCTAGGCCGTATTTGTTTGAAAAGACCGTTTTATACATTTGTTAAAATATTAATATACCTACAAGGCTGCATCCGAGTTGGGTCCCAAATTTATAATTGCTACACTAGTTGGGTCCCGAATTATTTTAGGTACTACACTTGTTCGGTCACGGATTTTTGTGTGTACTATACTAGTTGGGTCCCGGTTTTTTGTAGTTATTACACTAGTTGGGTCCTGAATTATTTTAGCTACAACACTAGTTCTTTAATATTTGTTGGTAAGTACTACACTATACTAACATTTTCCTTCCCATTTTAACAGACTGTCTATGATCTATTTAGACCACAGGTATTATAAAAAATGTTTTTTACAGTTTTCTTTTTAACCTAACCAACTCGTCGAGGTTTAACCGGCATTTATCGCTGTTATAGATAGTTTATTATAAGATATGTCAAAAATTATCAGATATTACCGATAACACTGAAATTATTACACGAATGCTCGAAAACCACTTAAGTCTTTTTTTATTACGAATATCCCAATAGTAAAATTATATACGTATAAGTACTTTTCATTTACTTTTCAATTTAATAAAATTGTATTAATATTATTGTATGATAATTTAAACTATTATAATATTTTTACTAACTATCAATTACTTATACTTCAATATTTAAAAAAAAACTGTAGAAAACATTTTTAACCATACCTGTGGTCTAAATAGATCATAGACAGTCTGTAAAAAACTAAGTTTTTGAACGTTATGTTGATACGTGATTCAAATTCAACATCAAGGGCCTAAATCTATAACTGAATAACACCGATCTACATTAAAATCCATAATTATTATAAATTATAATTTAAAATTGTTTTATTTTCAATTAAAACTGAAACATCAAATAGTGTGCATAATAAAGTAAAATGAACAGCACTAAACTGATAGAGGTACCCCGACCTTGATTTTTGTACCAATTTTTTAAAAAAAAATCTCTTGTAGTTTTCATTTGTGGAAACTAATAAATATTAGTATTTATATAATAGGTATTTATATATATTTTACATGTATAATAATAGATATTTCAGTACACAATATTAGAAAATTGAACTCTATATTATAGTTAGTTCCAAAAATGATATCGTTTTAAGAAAATTCTAATTTTAAATCATTATAATAATATTATAAGCACTTAAAAGTTATAAGTTATAAATTTTAAATTCAATTTCTAAGATTTAGTTTACTGTAATTGTACCCGAACCCACAATTTTCGACAAGAATAATTGAATCTAAATTAATCCTGTACCCTACATAATAAGATTTTTCCTTACAAGTAAGTAAGCCATAGTTGCCCACTACAGTATAACATATTTTTGACCATTCACAAAAAGTTTCAATGGCAATGTGTGTATTATCTTACAGTCATCCATTCGTCCTTTGGGCTTGAATTTTGAAGGTCAGAAGGCATCCGGTAATATTATTATATAGACTATAGAAGATCGCACTGGCAAACGTGATTATAATTTTTCAAACGCGTGCAAGTTTCCACTACCGAGCAACAATAACAATAGCACCATTCCCACGTGACTTTTTGCAGGCTATATCATCGTCGTCCCCTTCTATCAGACAGGAGAACATTTTAACGCTCTCTTTTCCACGACGACGTCGATGTCTAAAATACCCGCATCCAACGGAGCTCACTAATCTTATGTAAGTCAAACCGTGTGTACCGATATCGCTCGCTAGACGGACTGCCACGCCGAAGACGAAGACAATCAAATGACGAGTGAGTAACAACAAAATAGTAACGCCAAAAGTAAAAATGCAGCTCTATATCTTTTTATAAAATATAATAATATCGAAATTTATTATTCGACTCGCATGCATTCGTTTCATTTCGTCGGTTCTATATATTATTATTATATATGTACAGGGAAGTTTTCTAAAGACTCAGGAAGAAAAACTATCAATTAGTAACTACATCGTTAGGTTATCCCTGTAGTTGAACGGAATTAAGTTTTAATACAGTTAACGAGCAGCAAAATGATTTCAATAAATGTAGTAATAATTTTACAGTGGACATATATTTTTATATAATTTACCACACATTTCTTTCAAAATAACGAACTGGCCGTCATGTGCATATGGGGTTCAAACTTGGTATTTATTTTAAATCTAGTTATTATAAATATATAGGAATGGTCGTAAATATACTATACACACTATTACTAAGAAAATTATCTATGAACAGAAAAAAATGTACTACACAGGTAAATTTTTAACTCTGTCCCTTTCTCTCAAAATTCACAACATTAAACCATACTATCTTTTATATACCTAACCCAGTGTTTTGTGTTTGGTTTTGTAGTTATAGAGACACAATACCATTATATCAACCACCTAATAAATAATAACAGTATAATATAATATTTAATGAAAATATATTCAGATTTTAGTTTATTTAAATAATAATTAATTGTATTTGTTAATGGTATCAGGTACCTATAAAGCTCTTATAAACCACCGTCCTGTTATCATTAATATGAATTCATTATACTTGAATAAAATTAGCCTGGCGTAGACTTTTAATAATATTATAGTACCAAACCTCTCAGTTTCTAAAATTCACGAAAACAAAAAATAAATCTCAAATAATCTAAAAACGAATAAAACGTATTTATTTACCTAATGATTTGCATAAGACATTTCGAGGGGATTACTTTTTCTTTGAATTATGTACGAATTTGAATATTGATTCTACTATATATCTGTTTATCTGAAGTTTCTACTAACATAACAAACATATTAAATAACTCTTTAGAGTTCATACCATTATAATATTTAATAAAGGTATCAGATTAAAAACGAGTAGGTACTAAAATTATAAAACAAAACATTACAACAATCGTCACAAATAAACAAAAATAAATTGTAGATATTTATTGAAAACCGATCGACGAAATGCATAATAATTTAATACGTAGTTGGTTTGAAGTAAGACATATTTTACTGGCAACTGATTTTAAGTGTTTTATTTTATATAAGTACCAAAAACGTCAATATACATTATATGAACAAGGCATTTGTATATTTTAATAACTGATTATAGTAATAGGATTATGTCTGTATATGTTCTTTAGTGCACTAATTGCTATTTTGCCACCATTATCCCAAATGATGTTGCTAAATAAAGCAAAAAAATAATTATTACAAAATTGTTCTTTATTATTATACCGGGAAAGGTTGGTTCCATGTTATGATTAACCCTTATACTTTGATGTTTTTTCTTTCATGGAATTACTTTTATTTCACGTTTACAAAAATAAATAAAATAAAAATATTTCCGTGAAGGATGTTTTCATTTTATTGTAATGAGAACACTTTTGAATTATATTTTAACCACCAAACCCTTAAAATTACCTAATATAAAATCTTTATTTTCATTGTCTTTCGTAATACAATAATATTTTTTTTATTATTACATGCATATATTATACAATAAAAACGCTAGAATAATTATATAGGTAGGTACTAGGTAGTTATGACTTTCACACCACACTCGTTATTTTAGAGTGAACCCCAGAAATATGGTTAAAAAAATAGATCATTCCAATAATGAATTAAAATTAAGTTTACCAACTACCTTGTGTTATTTAACCACAAAATTAAGAAAACCATAAAAGATGATTTAATAATAATATCTGCAGATCCACTCTGATAAATATTTTGTTCATAGCGTTATGTTGAAAACTTACAAATACGCTTAACGCTTAAGGTGTTACTAACTAAATCGTTGTTTGGTATGAATTATTATAATATATACTATCAAAACTATATGAACTAAGTTGGTCCTTTGAATTGAAAATTTGTTTTGCTATTCGGCACAGTCCATTGTACGTCATCAAATAAGACATGTATGATAAATCATATTATATGTAATGTTTGAATAAACAACGTGTTCACGAACACCCACTTACACTGAGGGATATAAATATATAATAATATAATCCACGCACTGAGCTTATAACAGTTATTTAAATTGCCCAATATTTTTAATGAACTCTGCTGACATAATAATAATAATATGACGATCGCCGGCTGTCTTAAACGGTGGATATAGCATATAGGTACATACCGACGAGGACAACAGATCGAATTGACAAGGTCTTGCGACCTTGCGTGTATCAAATCATATATACGCGTTACAATTTGTCCGCGTGGGAGCGTTAAGACTTACTGGCTCGCGATATGATGGGTGAAATGGACATATGAAATTAACGATACCGGTAATCCTAATGGGCAATATAATAATAATAATAACATCGTGGCGATTCGGTGTCAAGGTAAACGTGGGAAAACCCATTGGCCATCATAATAACAATAGCGAATGTCCGAATATTATGATAAACACGTCAAGCGTATAACCATAAATGACGATTTGGGCTAACTTGAAGTCTCGAACTTAAGTCAAAAGAAATTTATTTGATTAAAACTCAATGTAGAGATCCGTATAAAGACACGTAATACAATTATTGAATATATGTAATTCGAAATTATTATTCTATTTTGTCAAATTGCAATTATTAATTAAGTTTGGACAAGCCAAGTCATTTATGCGTATGTATAAAATGCAGACTGCAATTGACAAAAAATTATCATACTCATGTTTATTCCGTACACGAGTTATTCAAATTAATTCGTTTAATGAAGACGAAGAAAAATTTATTTTATTAAAATAGTTTAATAGAAGAAAAAACACAATTTAATGTGCATAAATCGTAAATTAAATTTGATTTATGATGATTTTAAATTGTTACTTTTCAGTCAAGACAATAAATCAAAATATACATAAGGATACATAAAAACTCATAGTAAAGCATCATTGTGTACCAATAAGAACATAGAAGAACAAATCTTCATAAAAATAAACAGACGATCATAAAATTATATTAGAAAAACACGAAAGGTAGGTTGTTGCGTCCAACATGAACATGAACGAGTAGTTTTCCTTCAAAATATTAGGCTCGAACAAATGACAATATTTTATTCGAAGTAATAAAACGTAATCACATTTTATATTTATTCATATTTTGAAATCTACTGCATATAATTAGAATAGTTCTACTTGAGATATATCTTCTTATCAATATAAGCAAACGCAATGAGTGACCTAAACTACAACTATCATCAACCCATTGTAGTCACTGATTATAATATTTTATGATAGATTATTCTGCTAATGTAATTTATTATCTTTAATTATATAATAGGTAATTAAAATCAAAAATAACAAACACTATGAAAGAAAATTAAAAAGTAAATTTGAATTGAATACATCTAATAAGTTTTGAAATTAATATTAGAGTAATGAAAATAAATAACTTGAAATTATAAAATAAATATAACTTTTTTACATAAATAAGATATTTAACATTAATAAGTTTATAATTAAATTGTTGTAATATGCATGATTAGTAAAACTTAGGTTATACTAAATTGATGTGTCAAATGTTTTAGAAAAATAAATTGTTTGACCTTCTGCTATAAAGAATAATAAGCTTAATTGATAAAATTAAAAAAAATTAAAATATTGGGTAAAAAGACCTCCCATTGGAAATGAAATGCATGTATATTCAAACAATAATATTTGAATAAATGTGGGAATATGTTTAGTATCAATCCGTGGTTTTAAAAATATATAATGTGGTGTTTACCATTACGCATTATTTAAGTTTAATCTTTAGCTTTTTAATCAAAAAATTTAATTTTTAGAAGTATTTTTTTGTTAAATTAATTAGAGGTACTTAGGAATAATATATTATTTGTTGCCTTCCAGAGTGATCTAAGATAACTAACCGTCGACGAACTTGAAAAAAACATTCCACTAAAAATTATGTCTTCCCTCACATTACCACAAAAAATCTGTCATCGATTCAAAATAAATTGATCCACATACTTATTATAATTTAAAACAAATACTTAATATAGGTAGGCATTAACTAATTCTGAAGTTTTGTTATTAAATGGTATCATCTTCACAATTTACATGTTGTTACACATACAGTTTAAACAAATCGATGTGAAGTATTGTTTATATCTAACAGTATCTAATGTATTTTAAATGAATAAATGAGAAACAATATAGGTACAATTACAGTATTACGTCTTTTACAGACTATAATTATAGGTAACTCATTATATTTAACGTTTTTAAATAGGTACATACGACTGCAGCTGTCTGTATTCGATTACATCATAATCATAATTTGAAATCTTCAACAAAAATATTGAATACAAATCTGTATTTTGTTCATTCCATTTCAGTGTTCTTTAAAATTATTTTAAAATCGAATTTTGACTAAATAATATCCCATAGGTATTAAATTGTGGAATGCAAACTTACGTATATTCAGTCAACCAATAAAATTAGGACATCTGTTCCAATGGTAGGTATCATCAACTATTGTGGAACGTTCGTGGCCTATAATATTTCGTAACACTAATGTTATGGTATCTTAACACGATTAGAATATTATTGTTTTTCTACCATTCCAAGAGATTCTATGAAATATTTCAAACGATTTTGTCTCTTATTTTAATATCATATAAGTGTTATATTTTTATACTAAACAATTTATTTTAGTTTATACACTTCAATGATTATTTATTAAGTAATAAATACAAAGTAATATGCATATTGCATAATAATAATATAAATCAATATTTGATTAAAAGAAAATGTATTTGAATTGTAAACCGTAATAATCAAAATATTTCAACTAAAAATAGATTGCCAATAATTGAAAGCAAATTTTCAAAGCACGACAACAATTTAGGTACCTACTCTTCGATTAATAATAATTTATACTACAAAATAATAGAGTAAAAAATACAAACAAAACCTTATCAAATCTTTTTTTATTATTGCTTTGTCATTGACACATTGATCGTAACGTTATTTATATGATTCAGAGTTCATAAAATACTTTGAATTGAAATAAATGTATTTCCGATGATAGTTGTAATAATTATTTTTATTTTTAACATTATTTTACTTACCTATAGGCTATAAGAATGATAGCAAATCGATGAATACATTGCAAAAAATATTCGTTTTCATACTGAAAGATTTGGAAAAACAAAAATGTATGATAGGAATATACATATATATTTAATAAACCTAATACCTATATATACTAAATATTGATATATTTTGTTATGTCAAATTAATGAAAAATAGTTAGAAGATTATTAATGCATTTCTTTGATCATTATTAATTGAACATTTTACTTTGAATTTTACTTACGATTCATCTAACAAAAATCATACGTAAGTACCTACATCTTGAGTATTTTAATTACTCTAGTGTTACAAGAGTCTCCTAATATTATTACAAACAAATTAAATTTTAAACTCTGGATTAAAATGTGTGATGGAAATCAAGCTACGACAAAAATAATAATATGCTAACGCTGTGTTTGAACGATATTATCACCATACACGGTACCTACATTAATCGTTTTAAAATATTTATTTCAAGACTAAACATTTCTTATTAGAGTAAAACGATTGGTGTCTCCTAATATAATACGATAAATTATTTAACCACGATAAACATAAAACGATTCACAGTGTACAAACTATAATATAATATTAGACACCTATGTTTATTCTTAAAATTGTAAACAGCATAATAAATAATAATTTCGTTTTGGTTTAGGAATTAATAACAGGCCGCTTTTTGCGGCATTATTAGTGTTTGTGGCGTTAACCAGCGTCACTTTGGCTGACGACGACAAATGGGTATGGGGCAGATCAAACGACCAATCAAGGGCCGACTCAAGGATTGGATCCTCGTCCGACGAGGTGATCCGAATAGCTAAACCATTATTGCGCAATCAGCCCAACCAAAAGCCCAGTCCATTATTCCAACCCGCCAACAACCCGAGGCTGGACACCAAACATTACAGGTAAACGATAAGACTTTTTACCTTTTTCAAAACTAAAATAGTAATAAATAAGGCACAAAAACGAATTGGTTTTAGAATAAAAAATATACATTTACCTTTTTGCATACATTTGATGAGAAACAAAAACAAATAACCAGAATAAATTTACAACAGAATAAGAATATATAGGTACACCTCGAAAATTTGTAAGAAGATACTTTTAATTTGTACTGGTTTTTACATTTTAAATAAAACTACTGATACAATCAATTCAAATAGTATTTGAAATGTACTTGAAATATATCTTAAATACTTCAGAACAAATACAAACAAATATTTGCTGGAATTATTTAAATTCAAAACCAAATAGGTACCTACTATTTGATTTTTTCTCAAAATTGTCTGTAAAAGATAATTTTCTAATTTTCTTTTTAGTTTAATTATCTAGATCCCTACCCATTGGCCATTGATAATAATTATTACACTATTATATACTTGACACGTCTTGTCAAATGTACCAATATTGATGAGGTATTGAATTATACATTATCAATTTCCATACAAATATATGATAATATAATATACTATATCATAAATAAAAGTAAAAGCCAATTATAATTTATAACATAATTAAGGCTTGTAATATTTCTACTTCACCATGACAAAAAAAAAAATTTTCTAAGTTTTTACATTGATACAACATAATATATTTCGAGTACAAATAAAATAGTTTTACTAATAATTTAATCGAAAAGTAATTTCAATACCATTTCTAAGATATTGAATAGGATTGTTTCGTGATTGACATCTGCAAATCATGTAAGTACGTGGGGTTTTGTAGTGTTCGTTAAAAATATATTATTAATGATGGTTTTCGCATCAGTTATCCTCATTTCGATTAAATAACTATAGAAGTAACAATTAAATATCATATTACGATAATAGATATGGTATTCGATCTAGAACGACTCCACAGCGATCTGATATTACGTCCATCGAGACTATATTATATAATATTTGGTACGTCTCAAGGGTAAACCGACATTTATCCAAATTAAATCTTAAATCGATGTACAGGGATGACTCCATACGAAACGGGCGTTATGAAGTCAACGAGGATTATGTACCAGACAGGGAACCTTTGATCCAACAACCAATCCATATATCTGAGACCTTTAGCAGTAGGCCCTTCGACAGACCACCGCCGCCGCCGCCAAATAACCTACCGCAAAGACCTTTGTCCAACTTCCAAGTGCCTTTGCGGCCGCAGAGACCGAATGTCCTCATCGATTCCGTGCACGCGCCATCCAGGAAACCCGTGCCTGCAGCCACCGAACCGGCCGGTTCTGCAGTGGGCATACTCACTGGACCAGTGCCGTCGTGGCAACGACCGGCGGTCCACAAAAACGGCGATCCAACGAATTTCGAAAAGTGCAAATGCTCGTTCTCTTTCAACTGTAAATCTCCCGGGATCAAGTTCGTAAGTACAATATATTATTATATTATACACTATATCGTCGAGATTTAAGCGTGAATAAAAATTAATATATATATATATATGTATACGGGTGAAGCCGGGCACTTTTCGAATTTATCTATTGTTACCGAATTGTATAGGTAGAGAGCACTTTTAGGTATTTAATTCAATTGAACACAGACTCTAAAGTATCAAATTAAGTTAAAGTTGATAAAGTACCAATACGGAATTAAAGAGAAACAAACTAAGATAATTGTCTAGCATGTGGGAAACATCGTTCTTTATCTTGATAAAACTAAAACCAATAGTTTTAATTAAACCGACGTTCTCTGTGAAGGTTTAAAAACCACAAATCATGAACAAATAATTGAATTTGTAATATTTATTCCAAAACAACGTAATTACTTACTACCTATAATAAACTACATTTGGTAAGTGGAAAAACTCATAATATACATCACTAATAAAATGTTTGAATGAATTAAAAAAACATAGAACAAAATGTGTTTTTATGTAATTTAATTCAATTTTTATGTTTCGCTGATTTTATCAAAAATGTGTTCAATTAGCTGATCAAATAAGCAATATTTAAATAATTATTAGGTAGGTTTGTTGAAATATGAGAGCATATTTAAATTTTTTATAGTACCAAAATTATCAATATTGTCTTTAATAAAACAATATCACAACCAAACTAACTTTGCATTACTCTTTAATTTTTGGATATCAGGAAAATGTGGAAAAACAACACAGACTAGCATAAAAAAATATGTATAAAAGAAAACGACGAGTATTTAGTAATTTATATTTATTACCGTATAATTAAAATTCGAAATATTACTGTTTTTAATTACATAATACCTACTCAGTTTTTAATGAACAGTATATAAACCAACAGTAATCCCACAGCAAACGCTGTTCTCTTTTATCATTTATCTCTAATACATTTACCTCTTTGCGTGATTAAAATAAAAGTTTAAATTAAAGAATACGCATTAAATTTTTTTTAAATAGACTTCTATAATAAATACATTCCTAATATTTAATATTCATCATTCATCCCTTTGAAAGTAAGAATTTTATTATGTTTTCTGGTTCTAACCTTACCAGTCAAATTAAAATACCGTCAAACAAAATAAGGTTTCTTATCCCAATATAATATTATTATCTCTTTAAAAATGTGTTTTTACAATAAACCATGTTAATGCGATTTATAGTAGGATATATAATATATGTATACTATATTACTATGTAGGATGTTGATTCCAAACACCATATTACATAATAGTCGTGATTATCTAAACGTTTTCTTTGTCCTATGAGATCCGAACAATTACATTATGTGATATGCGTTTTTGTGGGGGACAAACATTTTGCGGTGGCCACACACATACAGCTCGTCATACTTTTAATCGGATTAGAGCAAACTCCTTTTGTCATCTTTTAAATAAATACGAAAAAGTCTTTATATATTTTTCTTACAGACTCATAACTTACAAAACATTATTAATACACGGTTTTCATTTATATGAAAAAAAAGGAATAGTTTTGGGTGATAAATGTAAAACATGAGAAAATAAATTATCAATATTATAATTAATAGTTGCTTGCAGATATTTCATTAAAACATGATTAATTAATGTATATTTTTCAGGGAAGCTGTGATGAGGGAAAACAATACTGTTGCTACAATGATTTTGATGGTGCGAATTCAGGAAGCCAAGAAGTTGACAAATATGGAGGAGACCGAAGTGAACCCATACCTTCTGTTTTAGTTGGTCCAGGTGGAAGTCACAGACCAGGTTTGAAACCTGGCATATATGGACAAGTTTCCAACAAAAATGTAAGAACCTCAAACTGTAAGTGCATGGTATACGCATATTAATATTAGTTTAAGGCTATTGCATAATGTAATTAATTAAAAATAAATACAATTAACATTGATTTGCTTATAGCTAAAATAATGATATTAACTACAAAATAAAATATAAAGCTAATTTATAATTATAATAACTAAATTAAATGAAAATGTCTGTGTTATACTCTTTTAAGTCATTGGTGGTGCTAAATAAAACCAATCCTGAATAAAGATCAGATAATTATTTTAAGTTTTTGACTCGATCGTCCAATTTCAAGATATATCAATAACACAGTTTATCTCGTACTTCAATTTTATTTTGGATCAAAACACCTAAGATTCAAATTTAATATAGTATAAAAAATAAAATATGATTCCCGGTGACTTATTAATTGTATTTAAATAGGTGTAAAAATGATGAATGTGTGTTTCAAGACTTCAAAAATTAATAAAAGCAATAAATTTAAATTTGTATCTATTATAATTTTAAATTTTAAATTAGCTTTAACTAAGTTCTAATACTTGAGCTTAATTAAAATATTTATTTATAATGTTTCATCATGTATTGCATCAAACAAAATAATATAACTAACTTGGGAGACTTGAAAATAGTTAGAAAATATAACTGTATTTATTATTGTATTTCATATTTTAATTCCAATATATTGAGAAAATGTTTCCAAATAAAATTTAATTTAGTTCGTAAATTGCAATTTAAATTTGTTTAAAATGTTTAGGAACATATTGATCGACAAGAATTTATTGGTAACAGTTTTCCAAATGAACCATTATTCAACAGAAGACCCAATGAGTACGGAAATAACCCTTTTATTATTCCAAGACAATTGTAGGTATAGTAAATAATGTTATAAATAAATGTAATTACTATTATATTTTTTTTTATATGAATTGTATTATAATTTTAACAAATTCTAATTTATAATTTTATTTATACTTCGTTACATAACACATACTGTAAAATATCAGTCATTTATAGTTGGTACTTAAAAAGTATGTTTACGTAATAAACATGATAATATAAAAAATATTTTACGCCAGCTAGGATCAATATAATATTTATTGTATATAATAAAATATAATATTTGTATGTATGTCTCACGATGTAGAGAAGATATCTTCATTTTTAAAAAAATCTAATAAGTATGAATTATTTTTGAGATTCAATTTAAATTCAATTATTATGTAAGGGTACTTGTTTATCTTTAGCTATAGCTTATACATAATAATAGCTTACAACAGTTAATTTATTAAATAATAGTACCTATAAATGATTTATTTTATACTAGCAACATATTGTAAACAGTATTCTAAGCATCTAGGTTTTATATTATTAGTTATTTATTTATATTTTATTTAAGTAAGAAAATAAATTATCATTATGTATTCCATACAGCCACAATTAATGTTATTACCTAAGGAAAAACTTGTTTTCAATAACATATATAGCCAAATATTAAATCGTTTCAAATATGTTTTGTGTAATATAAATCTATACAATACATAAGATACAAAATAAATGAAACTTTTGATTTGATGTTTATAATGGTTATCTATCTATCTATATATATATATATAGTATAGTAAATATCTTGTATAGTAAAGACGTATAGTATGATATTGGTATAGTATAGTATATATGTAAAAATGAATATCTGTCTATCTTTTCTTTATGCCTGCCTAAACGTCTTGACCGATTTGACGAAATTGTTCGAAAGCGCATGAGTGGATGATTTAAATTTTAGATGAACAATTAGACCAGATAGGTGCAACCCAAGAAGGTACTCAAACAAGGATTTAGAGATTTATGAAGGAAATTTTTGTTAATAAGTGGTTGATATTGGATATAGGAGAATTATAAATATATTTATTAGAAAATTTTTTTTTTTTTATTATTTATTGGTTTCCATTGGTTAATCGGCCGGATCAGATATGAACATGCATCAAATCGAATTTTTGCACATTGCCTACCAAGATGGCTGAGTTGCACTAATAGTAAGCCTTACATCCGAATATAGCCTCTAATCAGAGTGTCCTCAATCAAAATAACAACATTTAAAAAAAAACATATTTTTCAAGTAGAGTATGCACCTATCACAAACTCCTATAACCTATTATCTACTCACATCATCACAAGTGAGTCTCATATAGAGTTGGAATTTTTAACGGGCAACAAAGTGCAAGGGGTTGGGTAGTGATATTATATATATCTACCAAACTACTGTACTACCGAAACAAAAAAATATATAATTTTTTAATTTTTTGAACAGAAACATTACCTAGTCTGACTTCACGGTATTGTGTAAATGCATACAAAAAGATTCAAAGGCATTATTAACGAGATAATTTTTTTTGTGCTGGAATGTGTATTATATTATATAATCGATAAAAAATTATAGGTGTACTGTAATTAGAATAAATTGTATACAAATTAATTAATAACAACTTTTTGGCTTTGAAGGTCGACTATCAGACGAATATCTTTATAATATTAAGAATTCAAAACTATTAGGTAACTTGTGCCTATAAGTATTTAGAAATATTAAAGTATACAAAATATACATGGCATATTCAGCACATAAATTGTAAAATAAAAACGATACGATAAAATATTTAAAAAAATAAATATTTATTGACAAGTGTTCGGCTGAGTGTCTACAAATATATTAAAAATAAGTCTCATGATTTAAAATGCTGTGGCTAGGAAGAAATAAACACAATGCAAATAATCTAGATAGTTTTAAAAAAACATTGAAATATAACGAGAATCGGGAATGACTCGATAATGAGTGATAAGTTATCACTGATAACCAATTTTTACATTCTCGAAAACAAAATAATATTTTGAAATAGTACAAAACAGTGTATAAATCTATAATGTTAACATTAAGTCTATAGCATTGAATCTATGTTGATGTACAAACAAAAACTATAAATATTTTCAAAAGTCATGCATAGAAAAAAATATAAATAAATCAGATAATGTCACTTGTTCTAGAATTAATAAATCAAAATGTTTAACTTTACTCTGCAAAATGCATCAAAATATTATTGGTATAAAAAAATATATATATACATATTCTAGTAAACCAGTTTCTTTGTAAATTAACACATTCCAAATATTATAATAATTAGTAACAAATGAGAATAAAAAAAACAAATCTATTTAAGATTTTATTCTCTACTTTTGAAAATACTCAAGTTACCTATCTACAGCTATTTATAAACTACATATGTTTGAAAAAAAATATAGGCAATTCGATTTGCAAAATTTTAAAGAACGGTCCAAACAACAAAAGTTAATTTTTCGGGAAAAAAATGAAAACTCTGTAGCCACATATGTTTTTATTATTGTTCAATGGTAAATGTAAGATCATAATATGTTCTATAGATTTTCATACTCTGGTCTCTGATAAACTATGTAGCTACAACAGTGGTTTAGTTCCCACTTTTGTGAAATTAATCACTTTATGTGCAGAACGAAAATTATCTTGTTTTTTGCAATACAACAGCACAAAATCTCAAATCAAAATTAATTTTCCATGTGCAACGTTTGAAAATCTAATTACGCAAAAACAATATTCGAACATCTTATACCTACCTACCTACTGTAACGTCGTAACGAATCCACGGGTGACTGATCCAAATGTCAGAATTTACACATAATTAAATATTTTGAAACACAATTAAGTTGGATTGATTATTATATTATTATTATATTATATTATTATATTATATTATATTATGATTTAAGTCTGAAAATAATATTTTGCAGAACCATAACAAATTACAAAGATTATTGTTTTCTGAAAATAATAAACGATATTATTTATATTTATTTACTTCTTATGGAGCTATTCAATTTTTCAATTATTTTATTTATACAGTAAATTTAGTTGCCCTTAAAAACTCATAGAAACAGTCTTGTGATTTATGTATTTATGGCATTGTTTATTAATTTATGATATTTAAATAAGCATGTTTATATTAATTAAAATATTATTATGAATTTATATGAATATATTATGAATACATATTTCCCATACAAGCAATTTGCGTTTGTGAATAAAATACAAGAATAAGCCCGTACATTTAAACGACAATATTGGCTAATAGTTAAGCTAAAGTATAGCTAAGTAGGTACTTAGGTACTTACAAAATATACTTTAATGCACCCGAATTTGCCTCCTGAATCTCATATAGTAGATAGGTTTTTTAAGTATTGCATAAATTCTACCAGACTTCTTTTTATATTTAGTATCGATTCAAGAAGGTCAGTTAATACCCTATATACCCCCAATTTTAAACTGTCAATTACTGTTTTGGGTACCGAAAAAATTGCCATGAAGTTGAGTTAGAAAAGCAAGAAAAATATATACTTTCCAAACAAAAAATACATAGAAATCGTAATTTCATCAATCAGTTTTAAATTGACATAGGTTGTCACTTGTTAGGTAGACACTATACATTGATAAATTATAATATAATACAGTTTTGCTATACCTGTATACATTTTTAAGATTGTTTACAAATTAACTCAAAAGAAAACTGAGTGATCTATCAAAAAGTTCTTAAAATTAATAAATTTGGGAATATTTTAAAAATTGTATGTAATAACAAATTCCTTTCTAATATTCAAATTCAAACAATATTATTTTATAGTTTTTAAAACTGAAAATTATTCAAAATTTTGGATTCATAACATATAAACAACTTTACTTGTATTATTATTTGTTATCATATTTTTTGGTTTATTTTGAATAGATTACGAATATCTTTAACACCTAATTATTATGTAGGTACTTGAATAATATTTATAATATTTAAATAATTTGATCATCGAATAATTGTGTACCTAATAGTGTGTGCTTGATTAAGTTTATGTATGATGAAAATTATTAAACTAGATGTAAATATGTAATGTATCAATATGGCTGTTAATTATTATAATGACCTGTACCCAAGCGTAAAAATGTCACGTGTTTTATTATTAATGTATTTTAATAATATTTTATTCAATATTACATATTGATTTTAATATAGATTTTAATGTTTAGATGGTTGATATAGATACATGATTTATCTATTTTGTAGATTATCAATTTTCAAATGGATTATCTATTTTATAAACTATTACACATGTACCTACAACATAATAATAATATTATAATCATTATGAAATATTCATAAAATATACTATGTCTATTTTGTATGCATCTACTCGAGTAAATATTGCCATGAACCAATGGTTGATATACCATTACTTTAGTGGCCTACCTCTAGGTAGGCTCTTTTATGCACAGAAATAAACAGTTATGTTATTTTAATGATATAATAATCCAAAAAAAATACTATTTTCAATAACTATGTAAAATCTTAATTTATAATTTTAATACAAATAGTTAAGGAGTAACTACGGGTAAAATTGTTAGATGGTTAATTTGATAGGTTGTGATACGATACTATGGGATTCAGCTCTATATTGATGTATTTCGGTTTTAGTGTAAGTAAAACGGCCAAATAGGCATTGTTGTACTTATCGCTTTGTGAACTAATTCGATCAAATATCATTGGTTAGCCGTTCACAAAAAACTCATTTCATAGATAAATGAATATATTTCTTATTTATTATTAAGTTAGTTTTGTTAAAATATTCAAAACAAGTATAACACGAACTATGTAATATTATGTACAAATTCATGAAATATTATCCATGATTACTTTAATATTCATTATCAATTATTGAGCATCACTTTATTGTATCAGGGATCCAAAATAAATACACCATGGATGTAATTACTACGAGTATATTTGATGCTCGTAAATATATTTTAACCAGGAATAACAATTTAGTTTTACACTAATAAATCAATACTATGTACAGAAGACAATATTCTTGTAAAAAAGTTCAACTACGGCCTGATTAACCTATACATGTAGGGAATTCAAGTGAATGTTTTTATTAGATTCTAGTATGCCCAAAATACTTATCTTTTATTTTAAAGTAGGTACAGAGTACCTCAATTAATAGGTATAACAATATTGACCTAACGATATAACATCATCCTAACCTTAACAGATACAGCTTTAAAATATTATTATTATAAACCCTAAGAGAAGCAAACTTACTTTAATTAATAAATGAAACTGAATGCACATAACAATAGAAATAATAATTATGTTTGAGTGTATAAATTTTTTTAAATAAAGTTTAATTACTATAAGATTACTTTAATGAGGTTTTAAGAATACTCCTTCCATCATTAAAAAATTATTATTTCGTCAAAATTGTGCTAAACAAAAATCCAATCATTTATTATTATGATATATTGTAGATGTGTATAAGTATTTGAAGTGACTTCAAGGGCTTTACTCAAATTTGTTTAAGGTTATTCTACAGTTTATCAACATTTTAAATCGATTCCATTTGATGAAACTAAATCTAAAATTATATATTTATATTTACATAAGTTATACTATTAAACTAAATTATTCAATACATATAGACATATTCCATACGCAAAAAAGTGTCTAGAATGAAATGAAATAAGATACATAATATATATATATTTGTATGTTACAGGTGTTAAATGGGATGAAGTATGCTTAAAAGCTTAATATAAGATCTTAAAAAAATTAATAGAGTACTTAAATTACGAAAAATTATCAATTAACTATAACAAAACATATTTTATAAATTTTACAATTCAGAATAATAAGGATGGTAAAAGTTTTGATAACTTAGAATTTCATATTGATGTTAATTTGGATTATTGTAATGATTCAATATAACTAACAATATATAGAGTTTTTATAGTATTAGATACTTGGGTTTAACATTTGACAAAAATATGAAATGGAACTTCCATGTAAATAATATAGTGATGCGTATGCGTTTATTATCGTTTAGCTTTTATAAATTAAGGTTGTTTCTACCGATGCAAACTATGCGCAGAATTTCCTTAGCACTATTTTAGGCAATATTCCAATATGGTATATTGGGGGGGGGGCTTTATCAAAATTCATCTAGACCACTACAATTTCTACAAAAATAAATTGTAAGAATATGCCTAGAGATACTTTAATAGGTTTAACTAAAGAAAACTTTAAAAACGTTGTATCCTTTCTGGATATGAACAATTTGGGAGATAAAAGAAAAAATAGGGTGTTTGATGTCAGAATGGAGTATTATAGAAAAGTGTTTGGTTAAAAATTCATAGACTATTTTGGTCCAAAAAACTACAATCTAAAGCCTATAAAAAAAAAGAAAGATTCTATAAGGACGGGAATCGTATAACTACAGAAATAAAAAAAAATTCAGTTCTTGCTTTTTTTCAGTAGGTACTATAGAATAGGGAATTATTTCAACTGTAACATTTTTTTAATATTAGTAATAAGTAGGTACTCTAAATTTATATGTATGTTTGTAATAAACATACTAAAATAATAACGTAAACTGTACATTTCAAGTACCTACGGTTATTCGTTTTTTAATTACAGCAAAATAAGAATCGATCCATAAAAAATCGAGTGAATATCCAACGTTGTAAAAATTTGAACTTCAAATGCTAATAAAAATGTAATTTGACTTTTCGGTAGACTTTTTTATATAAGGATACCCGAACTTGTAAGGAATCTTGTATTACATTTTCAAATCTTTTTCGTGATTCATACTAATTTTGCCAAAATTTGAACTTCAGACGATTATAAAACATTATTGTGGATTTACGCTCAACTTTTTTTTAATTTCCTTTAACAACAACTTAAGGGGAACCTCATATTATTTTTTCCAAATTATTTGACCAGGCCAAATTTTTTTTATTGACATGAATTTTAAAAAAATTTAATAATAATCGAACATTAAAATATAAAATATAAATTTGTATATGCCTATAAATAGCTTAACAAAAATCAAAATTTTTTTTATCTCATGCTGAAGAAAAATGCTTATATAAACATTCAGTGAAAATGTTATGTGTCTACGGTAATTTGTTTTAAAGTTACACCAAAAACCAAAATCCGTTTTTTCTTAATTGTGTTTTATTTTTTAAGGAGCTTTTTAAAAACTACTGGGAATTTTGACCTCCCAAATGCACCAACTAGATTCACTTTTTCACCAGAAAAGATTCTGAAGTTGAAAATTGAAACATTATTTTCATCCTAACATAACATTATCAATACAGACACGAAAAAATAAAAATAAAAAACCCCACCGTCCAGAATCTAAAATAAAATGTTCTTAAATAGATGTACAGAGATTGTTTTATAATGTATTTATAAATCATAATATTTATAACAATCTGAGTAAAATGTAAAAAGTAAAATAAATTAAATCAGAAACAAGTTTTCAAGAAGTTATTATATTTATAGCTTAAATTATAATCCATGTTAAGAGTTCACAAGATCAACAGCTGATGGTTATGTTATTTTTATTTTACTCCCAAAATGTTGAAAGTTGTCATAACTCATAAGTAACATTAAATAAGTTAATTTAAAGTTTGATTTAACATTTTGACATACTTTCATTTATCACAATTTATAATACGAAAATGTGCACTTCGTTCATCATATTTTTCGTAACTCGATAAAAAAAATGTAACTTACCTTTTTCTTACCTATTTTATTATGTATTCGATACATAAATTATAAATTGTATTTATTTTTTAAGCGAAAAAAGATCATTTAAATAAAAGTGATTCCTAGTACTACACATTATGACTTATGAGACCCAAGTATTTTACCAAATAGTGATATGTTTAATTAAATTAGGCAGGTGCCTATCTATAACCAACTTACCTATATATTGTGACCATTATATTAGACATTAGGGAACCAATATTTTTGTTGCTGTGTTCAATGCAGGTTAATACAAGATAACTGTGTAGATAGCAAATATGATGTAAAGTCAATAAAACAATCAAATGTAGGAATATAATACATTTTCACTTATGTTAAAACTTAAAACGGAAACTAATTCCAAGTTAAATACAAAAATGTGTAAGATATTTATATGTATAACATATTTTAACAATTTAGTCTCATCACAATACATACTTCAAAATTATATGAAATTAGTTTGGTGTTTGTTTAATGATAACAATGTAAAAGACACAATGTGTTAGACATTCAACTAGACACTAGTGTAAGCTTTTCATGCATTTAACAGAAATTTAATTACCAATGAATGTATAGAAATATATCAAGAATAAATTAAATGAACTTGTTCAAATAATTATTTAGTAAGATAAATTTTAATAACCCACATTTTAGTTTTAATTGTATAATATCTGAAGTTTGTGGAGTGTACAATTATTCATATACAATAATATACATATTTGTTTTTAAATACATTTTTAAAAATAAAATAGATGAACTCTCTTCTATCCTCAAATCATTAACTTGCTTGAATACAAGCAGATATTTTAGCTTATAACTCTAAACAACTATAAAATACCGACTTCAATTTAAAAATAATTTTTACTGTAAGTGACTTAATTTTATCTTAAGATTACCCACTAACAATTTTATTTAGGTGATTGAAGTTTAAGACATTATGTTATACCTAAGCTAATTTTATAACTAACTAACTAAGACTTATTTATAGCTATAAATTACTATAAATATTTATATTATATAATTATTTGCCTTTTAAAAGTGTTGATGTTTAATTATGTTAATACTAAAAAATAAATTTAAATAATTATATTTATGAGTACTCACCTATAGTTGTGATAACAATTATTGAGTAAAATAAAGCCCCAGTGAAGGTCCATTGTTGTATTTTAGTGTCTTCTTCGCCATCCCAACCTTTACGTTTAATAGCGTATATCAAATCATCTTCAAATTTCTGCAACCGGGCTGTTACGTTTGTAGTAAAATTATCTTGTTGGAGCACCAATGAATTTTTGGTGTACTTCCAAAGATCCGTAGTTACATTCATCCTCATGACACGAATACTATTCTTCACCTTTGAACATTATTTTAAAAACATAGTTTTATAATTCATTAGCTTAATACAATTAATTATGACATTTCCTGCAGTTTGAACTACACAAATTTGAAGTTACGACCTATCAATTGACTACCTACAACCTACCTACCATATATAGTCGTATACAACTGCATCTGCTGATATTAACAACAATGCACAATGATTTCAGTAATAAAAATAACTTACTTAAGCTAAAAACTAGCACTGTAGTATCGAATAAATAGTATAGTAGTAGGTTTTCATTGCAGGCAACTATTATTTATTTTGGTGTTTTTTTTCGGTAGGTATCGAATGATAGAAGTTACTTTGGTAGTGAAGTTACTTCAGGTATGCATTAAGTTCTACCTACTCTATCGAGGTTCTATTAACAATATTATTTCTTATAAAAATACATGCAAGTTGTTTAAGCACCCTCTTTTTATGCATTTACAATTTTACATTTAATTGCACAATTGTATATGTAGTTACCTACGGTACAAACAATACTATATCACATTATCACCAATATTTGAATTTTACAAATGTGTTCAATATATCAATGGCCAATGGGTGGGTACGAGGAAGGGTACCTATTACCTATGCTGCTATGCTATATTTACATTACCTGCCTATACACATTATGCTAAATATAAGTAAATTAAATAATAGTGTATTCCTACGAGGGAGCTTATACATAATAATTTGTAAAATATGGCCATAAGGTGACAATATGATGTGAGGTAAGAACCTTGACTCGTCTCGGTTCATAATTCATAATCCTCGGTAAACGGATGCGTTTCACTGGACTGGAAATCATAAAGCTAGAAAATAACATACTTAGCCACTTAGGTACCTACTACACACGTTTCACTGGAATTTTGTCGCACTACACACCGCTAACGCACTCGTATAGTCAACGATGCGAAAACTGTTTGATTCAGAATCGAACGGCATGGCATACGAAATAATACAAGCTGAGGTTAGTGAATCAACTATCAAGATTCACAGATTCCTCGTTATATCGGAAAACTCTACGACCCTTATTATTTATTATCAACACATTTGTTGTAGTTACACATAATTCCCTATGTAATGCCTAAATATATGTTTGTAAAGACCATAAATAACCTCGATATAGTGGTCGCTTGTCCTTAAATTCGGTAAAAAAACGGCCTTGCTATTATAGAAATTCCAAAAATGATACTTAAGCATACAAATGAGTGGAGATGAGTGCTTTAATAATCAAACTGTATATAACTATGAAATACACGATGTCCAAAGACGTTTCATATACTGAGCGAGGCCCGAGGGGAGATAATTATTATTAAGTAGAATTGTACTAATTTTTATTGATAAGTCAACGATTGATACAGTACTATTTTATAAGTTTATAATACAGACATACGCCAATTGTATGTATTATGCACTCCAAATGTACGCCAAGTTTAACATAGAAAACCTAATCACCTAATTGCCTTCTTTTTTTATAAATTTGTTGACCGTAAAGAATGTTTTTTTTTGTTGTATGTATCATGTATGTATTATAAAATGTTATTATTTCCCCCTCCCTTATAATTTGACCCGATACTACATAAGAATTACATATTCATACACCAGTGTCCATGAACATGTTGATCAACTGTTGATATTTTTTTTTAAGTTAGATAATATTCATTTTAAATGTATTTGATATTTATTTTACAACAATTGTACTACTATAATATAATAGTAGGTATATATTTCCCACGTGAAGAATAGAGATTCAACATCGCCTCCTTCAAACGCGAAACTAGTACAGTAGCTATACTTATAGCCAAAAAGTAAAATATATCATACATTTTCATACTATAAAAACTACTATTATAATATATTAATACGGTTATAAGTTATAACTAGGGACCTAATAATAACTTATTAGATAATATAGTATTGAATATAGTTTAATTTTTTTTTCTAGTTTACTATCGTTTAATACACCAAATTGTTACTACCTGTATCTTGTCTGTAAATAAATACATAGTGGCAGCAATGGGTACAGCATAAAAAGTTTGTTTAACAAAGAGCATTTATTTAATCTCATACTCTTCATTGGGATGAATACCACATCCAAACTTTTTGTACTTTTAACTTTTTTCGCATTTACATCTAACTAATCAAATAATAAAACAGTAAATTCTATCCATTGAACTTCCGCTTTTAAATTATATTACTTAAATGTTAACTAAAGGTGTCTTCGTTTAATACACACTTACCTCCGTATAATTTTGCCATAATAATATTAATAAATTACACTCATTTTTTATTACACTATAATAATTACGAAAAATTTAAGTTTTTAAATTATATTAAATCTATACATAGATAAGTGCCTAAATAGGTAGGTAATGAAAGGGTTTAATTTAAATATTTTATGCATCATAATAATTCATATTTATAGGTAGCCAGGTAGGTACCTATATTTTACTAATAATAACAAAATTAATTAAACTATTATAGCTTAATCAATAAATACAAAAGTGACAACTGACTTAAATAATAATCGTTTCGAACTTTAAAAATTTGTCAGAGTTTATATAAGGTATTATTTACATTACACACAAAATGTAAAACATCTCACAGATGAGCACATTGTAGGTGTTTTTTACGGTATTCATCCATTGCGCCGATTTTTTCAGACTAGGTAGCTGAATAATAATTATAAACATCTTTTGTTATTGATGCCAAAGCTATGACAATAATAGTTGACCTTTATTTATTTTTACTTAATACAGTTTATTTTATTATATGCATATTTTATTCTACGACAATTAGTAATTACTTATTACAAATCAACTAATTAACACGAATTGTTCATACTATGCAATAATTAATCAAAAAATATAGGCAAGTACCTACCTACATGTTTATCTTAACATTTTTAAATGAATGATGGAATGTTTTGAGTTTTTAATATTTTTTTACAAAAATGAAATAAAAATGTAGATATTATTTGGATTTCAAATTTCAATGACAGTGAATAATATTTCGATTATTCCTAAAAACGAAATTCTAAATCGTAAAAATGTTACTCGGTGAATAATAATAATATGATTCCTAACTACATCATGTAAAAATCCCATTCGAATAATATATTGAATTCTATGTACGTAACATCGTAACAATAACGAAGTTACTATTCAAAAACCCACTATTCCAGAAATGGACATTTTTTGGTACATATTATAATAATCTTGGAGATATAATCAAAATAGTTTTGAATAGATTTTAAAAAAAATACACACTACACCGTGACTATTGTGTGGTAAGCTTTTAGTAGTTCTAAAGAAGTTCGGAGAAAGTATATATATTATATAGGTACATCATTTTTGTGATACATATTACTGTATTTGTAATACAATTGTCATTTAAGTAATAATTTTGATGTAAAAAAGTCATTTTATAGCATTTAAAAATATATATATATATATATTAGTGGTTTAGTGGTTTAGCTTTTTTAGTTATGTTTGCTTCTACTCTTTACTTTTACATCTCTATAAATAATGTTTTAATGACACAATAGAAATATTTTATAGGCATCATGTCCAAAATGGATCGTTACACATTACCAAGAATACAGGCGATTATTTTAACAGTGCATGCCCATTATATTAAAATGTAAATACTAACATTTTTGAAATTTGTTTTGAATAATTTGGAATTTTTCAAACACATAGATGTTTTTTATTGTTATTTTTCATAAGTTTTGTGTAGTGGACAATACACTGCGGGGTACTTACCCGTTCCACTGCATTCAGCTCATCAAACTATAAATACTTATAAGCTTATAACTCAAAAACATAACATTCAGTTGTAATTCATTTTGTACGCCTAACAATTCCCAGCAAAAATACTGCTCCAGAATAAGAAATTAAAAGCATGTTTTCTATGCCAGATGTAAAAATCTTAAAAAATAATAATGATGTCAATAAATTAGAAAAAAAATGTTTTTTTTTTGTAATTGCTTAAAATTATACATAAAAACAAATATTTTCAAAAACATTAATACTTTTCAAGATAACGAGTGTTTAGGTACTGTTAAAACAATCGTCGGCTTATTGAACCCAAATGGGTATTGTATAATATTAATAATATAATATCATACAGCCAATAGGCTATAATAATAGCTGATAATATCTACCCATCTCAAATTAATATAGAAAGTTACACTCAATACTATTAATATCTAAAGAACTTGACATACACAGATATAGTAGGTATATTATATTATACAGATGTACTTAAATATTAATCATCTACTATTCAATAATATGCCTGCCTATAGGGCAAAAGAACTTAAGAAAATATTCTTATTTTTACATCCTCGTTCTTGTATTAGGTTATAATGTTTACACACATACCTACTGCTTAAACAGTTATTAATTTTTAAGCTGAACACTAATTTTATTTTGTATAATAATTACTTTAAAATAACTTTTTGTCTTTTCAGTACACCTACCTAATATTATTTTATCTGCAAAAGTAGTATACGAGAAGCGAAGTTCTTGTTTGAATTCAAGTATACATGATGTATTTATATACGTAATTTATTGTAAAATATATTATACTCATTAAAAAGAACCGTGTCACATATTATAACAATAGTATCGAAACTAATAAACGATTAGAATGATAAAATATAATTGCTTATCGTTGATACATCATCATAGTCATGAGCTCACAATAATTAGGTATAATACCTACAATAACTCCTTTCAAAACGTGTAGTGGTATATTATTATAAATATTATCATAATTTTTTTTTTTAATCCGACTTACTTCAATTTCGTTAGCTGATTCGAGACGTTCGAAAGCAAAGGCTCCGAGCAAACAATACAGCACAACCATGGTGACAAGTAACACGTGCAGGAACAAGCACGTGAATATCTTCCACGCATAGTAGACGAGTGTGGTGCATCGATTCGGCGTATCATCGTCAAAATCAACATCCATCAACATGTTCGCGAGATCAACGTGCGATTCCCGCTAACTAAAAACCAAAAACCTTATAGGTATAGTTATTAGTTACCTACGTGACGAATTGTTTCTACATAATGTTATTATAACATTATACATCGTTAAAAACCGGTGTGCGTGCGAACGTGTTAATATTATGATTTCTTGCGGTACACCGAGATTTTCGTGACGGCAACTGTTATAATAATATGATAATATTTATCGTGGTTATAAAGAGTCCGTGTGTGGTTATAGCGAAATGGCCGGTCGTCGTCGATCCAGAAATAAAATGGTCCATCTGTCTGGGTGCCTAAACAAATGGTGTTCCCACCGTCCGATACGGCTTGCCAAAATTGTGTATTTAAATTTAGAATCTTTCCCCTACCGTGCAGCAGAAAGGTTTGTTTTTCCAACACAGATTAGAATAAAATGTTATTATTTCCCTTCTTAGACCGCCGTAACACACCATGATAATGCGCTGCTTATTTCTGTTTACCACCGTCCATACACGTCGGGTCGTCGGCGTATCAACACAACAAACGAACGCATATTATCGTTTTATACTTTTATGGGTGCAATGTGTAGTGTATAATATATTATATTATTATACTATACAGTATACAGGCGTTCTATATTCCATAGTAGTTGGACACGAGGAGAAGCTTTTCGACTTAACACAATACTTTCGCGGGTCCGTTTGCGAAATAAAAACTTACAATAATATATTTTATGCGTGCCCTTCGAGGACCGAGCAGAGTGACCCACTCGCAAATCCTACTCAATGACTTTTTTCTCGGTGCTATATTTGACGTCCACTGCTGTAATACAGCCCGTTGAGAAATGGTGGCATTCATTTTTCAAATCGCTTCCGACTGCCCTTTCCAGTTTCCACTGTCCTGCATTTCACTGACCCAAACACATAACAAACACACTGGTCCGGCATTATTATTTCCACGCTATTCCCAGAATGTATTGCGAATAATTTAATAATAAAAACAAATAATGTAAAATATACATCACGTCATTTTGAACAACTGCCATTATTTTCACCATTGCTTGATTTAAATTAATATTTATGTGCCCATAGATTTTCGAGGCATTTGATCTAGAATTAAAATACTATTACATGGAATTTTCTCAATTGAATCACATATTGTTTTAGTCACAAATAAACAGATATTATATAGACTAGTAAATTATTTACTTTTAACACCTTAAAGTGTTTTAAAATAGGTATGAAATGTTCGTAAATTAAAAATTATAAAAACACATTTATAAAAAAATGTAAGCCTACCTAAACCTTAATAAATTATAACAATACCGTTAGTAGAGTCTTAACTATATACAGTATTTAATTACATCAATGATCCATTTATCCATAATATACGTAAATAAATTATATATATGTATATAATGTACATTAATAACACCCCCTACCCCTTAAAGAATTACTAAATATTCTACTGGACTTAGGTATGATTTTAAAATTAACAAACTTCAATTTTCACATCAATTGTTGAATAATATTAACAATTCATTAAAAAAATATCTTGTTGATTTAACAAAACTATAATTTTTTCTCGCACAATTATTAATTCAACAAACAAAGCATTTTTTTAACAAACACCCAGTTGGCCCTATGGCTTTAATATAATATATTATAGGTAAATTATGGCTTATGGATAATTGTAATTACAACAATACTGTACACTGTACACACATACGTACTAACATATAATTTTATAGTTTTGCATACATAATAATAAATAATGATGATGATGTAGGTGAGAGGTTAGTACCAAAATTCTTCGACAACTCTTTCATATACTCCAATATATATAATCTGTGGACAGTGGTCTTCAACCGGTTAGGTTTGTTATAATAATAATTGGTCGCGACGGGTCTTTTTTTTTTAAATAAAAATAATTAAGACTACACAATTACAAATTATGAATAGATTGAACAACCATACAATACCTACCTTGATATAATTACAGTTAAAATATCTACTGACACGGAAAATCGATTAATTGAGCTTGCTTGTGAGTTGTGATTCCAAAGTCCAAACTTAAACAAATGTTTATTGAAACTTCTTTGGTAATGTTTTGGGCACACGTTTTATGCACGGGAAGCACGAATTAAGATATACTTATTTCTTATTATCTTAATTCGTGACGGGAAGTCACGCAAAACCAGCAGCTAAAACCTTTTTCCTTCCACGGCCTACAAAGTCGACAAGAGTCGTGAACTTTTTTTTACAAGAAAAATGAGTCGCGACCAAAAAGGTTGAGGACCACTGAATACTGATCCGTACTAATACGATTATAGGAAGATTTAATAGATATAAATTATAGAGTACCAATACCTTTATGTTTTATCGTGCGGATTTTGACATTTTGCTGCTAACGTGTTGGATAATCGACGGTATTAATCATTGGCTAATTATAATAGAATAAAATACCTAATGTAGATAGGTAGTAGATAATAATTAATCATTGCAGCTACCTACTTTTTATGTTCATTCTTGGAACATACTACCTAGCTAAGTAATGCCTATTGAACTTAATAACTACCTACCTAATTCTAGCCTGGTATTTAATGTTAAAAGCAACAATTTGCTTATTGTTGCAAAATAATAAACAATAGCACCTCCATTGGAGTTAAATAATTGTAAATAGAACTTATAAGCAGGTTCAGTGGAGCAGCCAGGGTTTTGAAATGCCTTGGGGGGGGGGGGGGGGTTAGTGTAAATAAACCCTAGTCTTCTACAGTTTTCGTGCATAAATAATATTTATTATTAGGGGAAACATTGACAATGAGCCCCTCCCACTATCCACGACACTAAACAGGTTCATAGTGTAATCTATGCCATGACGTACACGTCTTGTCACTTATATAGATGAACAAATACAGGTAGATATAACTGGTATAAGTGACCTAATCGATTAATTTAAATTTTAAATAAAAATGTTTATACATTTTTTACACTCAAACGCTGTGGTAAATAAAAATTGAAAATTGAATATAAACGAAAATCGTAAACGGCAGCGCTATCTAGCGACAGAGTACCATACGAACGATTGACTGAATATTCTCTCAAATCGTGATTGCGCCGATTGCGGTGGATTGTGTAATCATTTATCATGTTTTTGGTGAATAATATTTTCATATAATTTAGAATTTTAGAATACTAAAAATAAAATAATGTTAAACTTGTTACTATAGCGTTGAACATTCATCTCGCAGGAGTTGTAAATACGCTCAAAACAGATAAATTCAATTGATCAACCTTTGTATTCCTTACATTATTAATAATTTCTTAACTCTAAGTATGCATCCTGATTTGTCACCACACCTGCACACTGAAGAATGTAATAATTTCACCATGGAATTTAAAAACTGTAATGTAGAGGTAAGTAACTGTAAACATGAATGATGTTTAACTAAGCAATTCAATTACTTGATTTTGATTTCCAGCATAAAGTGTTGAGGTTTGTTGGCAGATGTGATAAAATCTATGATCGAATGGTCCACTGTTTTCACTTAGAGGTAAGAAATTGTATTATTTTAAAATATGTAACATCTTACTATCAATAATTGAAAAAAATATAAAATGTTTATATGCCTATACTAGTTAACATTTCTTCCTACATTATCATAACTGTATATTTTATAAAATACAGATTATAAAATGTATTTTTAAGAATTCAGTATTTATCGGTTTACCTATAGATGTAATTTTTCAGTATAGGTAGCCTACACAATTTTAATTTTGATTAACAATTATTGTGTTGTTTAATAAAATGATTTTTGTTATTATATTTTTAAATTATTTAAATTGTTAGTACTAATGGTGTAGTTTATTCAATGAAATTTATCATTATTTTAAATATTTTACTATTTATTTGTAAAAACTTAATTTTTCAGCGACAAGCCAAGCGTCAAAAAAATAATGAAGAAGCAAGAAAACATCAAGAATTAGTGAGACAAAGGATGTTAGCTGAAATGAGATCAGACAGAGAAAAAGGAATTGAGAATTGAGATGTACTATTTGTTGTGTATAGGTTTAGGTATAAATTAATGTAAAAAATAAAATATAACAGTTTATAATTGTGACTAGTTTCTTTATTTTCCTTTGATTTTTTAGGAACTTAAATGAAGTACACAAAATATTAACAATATTTTACAACATAAAATGAAATAGTAAAAGCAAGCATAGTAACCCCTATGTAACCAAATAACTTAAAAATAACAACAATTCATTTTTGTCATACTTTGGTAACAAAAAAAAGTATAACCTTACCACTTTATTAGTTAGGTATTAAATTCATATTTTCATTTTCACTTTCATCAGATGTTTTTAATATAGTTCCTAATGCTATTCCTAAAAATATAATCCAACCAATATGGTTATTGGACACAAATTTATCACTGCAATCTTTAGGATTATATATATCCAATGTGCGTACCTATTCACATAACAAAATACATTTTTTTTTTTTAAATTAAGATTTACATTTAAAATTAATTTATCACATTTAACTCACTTGATTAAACATATGAGCGCCTGCAGCACCAACTGCTAAATAGTAGGGCCATGTTTGTCCAGTATTGGCACCACAAGTGATTAAACTACTCAATGATAGGGTTGCGAAAGATGACAACCAAAATTTTGATTTTGAACCAAACAAGACTGCAGTGGAGTAAATATCATGCTTGTTGTCATCTTTTCTGTCCTATATAATAATATTACAATTATTACATAAAAAATATGTGCATTAAATAAATAATCACTTGAAGACCATAAATGGTATCATAGAAAAGTGTCCATGCAACACCAGCTGCATACAAAGGAAGGCAGGCAGTGAAATCAATTGAAGAGTGAATAGCAGACCAGCCTAATAAAGCACCCCAATTAAAAGTTAGGCCCAATACAAATTGTGGCCAATATGTTATCCGTTTCATGAGTGGATATAATGTGACTAATACTGAAACAAACAAAATTTGAATAATGGCGTTATTATTTGTTATACTGCATTGCGCAAGTATTTAAAGGAATACATAAAAGTACTTTTTAGGACATATTAAACTAGATATTATTTAATCACAAATTTAATTTCATAACATATAACCATTTTATTGTAAAATGTTACCAATATGTTTTCTTGTTATGTTTTTCTACAATATTAATTGAAATAAAAAAATAATAAATAGAGAAATTTCTTTAAATAGAATGTTATATCTATATAATTAGTGTGTACGATTATAATATATTCAAAAATATACAATAATTAACATACACAATGTACGAACTAAAATATTCAAATGCTTTTATGACTTTGTGTATTACAAAATACATTAAATGTTCAAAAAAATAATTTTTTGTTGTATACAATATATAAAAAATAAACATATATTATAAATAATTTTTATCATCAACCTTTTATATTTATTATAAATACAATTTAAACACATAAAAAATAGGAATCTGAAAAATTATAAGTTTTTTTCTAAATTAAAAATAAAATTCTAAAATTTCTTCTTACATTTAAATATTATGATTTACAATAGTTATAATATTCTACTAAAATATAATTGAATAGCTTACTACAAACTGTTACAATAACTAATTATGAGACAAATTAAGCTTACCTAATGAACTAGCTCCAACCACAATAGTATACAAATTTAACTGCAACAAAACGATAAGACTGAGACCCAACTGACCAGCTAGGAATACCCATGCGTCAAACATGCTTAACGATTTAATGACAAGAGGTCGATTTTTTGTTCTTTCAACCTAAAAATATCCACTTACTAAAAAATGCTTACTTAAATTGTACATCGTTGACATTTTAAAATATTTTATGTAGAAATATAAAACGATTATATTTAATACATAATTGTGTACAGTGAAATATTTATACTTTGAAGTATTCATGAAGTTGTGTACAATGCGTCAAGTATGCAAGTAAGTTCCTAAAACTTTAAATAAGTTAATAAGTGAATTTAAATATGTCATAACAACAAAATATAAAAGTACCTAAGAAAAGTATCTTGGAAATATTATTTTTTTTAAAATAGAAAGTAAGAGAACACAATTTTCAATCTATACTAGAAAAATATTTATTTTCCCATTTAATAACTTGGTGCATTTGATACTTTAATATTAAATTATATTACATTGTGAAATATCTTTCCTTTTCATATATTTTAATATACAACTATTAATAAAGTTTGATTTAAATTGAAGACAATTGAGTGTTTAAAACTATTTTTTTTAGACTTGGGAATAACTTACTTTTTTATCAATATCTTTGTCCCACATATCATTTATTGTACAACCAGCCCCTCTCATCATGACTGCTCCCAGACCAAACAAACCAAGCATTTCAAAGTTGGGAAGTTCACCTGCCGTCGAAGCTAAAGCAATACTCCAAGTACAAGGCCAATATAAAAGCAACCACCCTGAAAACCAATGAATGGTCAAAATATTTTATGATCAAAAGATTTATTGACAAAAAAATATAATTTTCAAACCAGTGGGTCTAGAGAATCGCATAAGTTCTAAGTATGGTTTAATTGTGCTGATGACTATATTCTTTGGTTGGTTCACAGGCTTGGTCTGTTGGGTAATGAGCACCTTGCTGTCCACCGAACAACATCGTACTACATTTGTATTAGTCGAAATCGATTGGTTAACATATAACAACGTATTTCTGTTTTTACTTGATAGGGTTTTGTAGTAAACATGAATGACAGGTAACCTTAATTTTGTTCCAATGCCTCTCGCAAACGTCTAAAAAAAACAATTTTGGCTATTTAAGCTAAAGACATTTATTGCATTTTGTAGAACTGATTGAAATTACCTGAACAATCATTGCAACCAATTTTATTTCCAATTAACTACGTTTTTATATTAATTTATCTCAATAATTCCACAATTTGTAGTTTGTACGTTCATTTTTAGTGCAATACACAGTTGAAGCTTGAAACAAAAATTCGGAATCCCAATTTCCGGCCAAGGTCGGTGTAATTGCTAAATGCGATAAGGACTGGGTAATGAAAAATAATTGTCCGGCGAGAATATTATGACCGTTAGTCATTACACAGAAAACACTATTCGTTATGAAAACTAATCAATAATGTTAAGTTATTATTTGATAGTATTATGTTTCAACTTCATGAACGGTTGACGGTTGTAGGGAAAGATTATACATAACTGGGTTAGCATTTTGATTTTATAAATTATTATAGGTAATTACTCACATAATATAAATCATAATATTATACCAACATTCTACTACTATTATTATTTCAACATTTTCAAGACTAGACTGACTAGTGTTAGTGTACCTATCAGAAAAAATTTCAATTTTCAAGCAAGTTTAATTACATAACCACAAAATAATGATAACGTGATATCATTTTCATATTATTTCTCTTTTTAGTTGTTTTTTTTTTATTCACAAACTGTTTTAGTTCTACAACAATTCGCCTGATGTCGCTGTATGGTGAATACCGTTTACTTTCGTTAGCAATCCGTGTGGGAAATGCACTTTTCATCACTTCACGGCTGGAGCGTTGCTTTTTTCCGACGATTTTCTTGACAACACTTATTGAAATGGAGATATAATGTACGCGGACAAGATAACTGACCGATCAAACAATGGACGATGATTTTTTCTTTGTTACGACTGCATGACTACAGTAGAGATAAATTATATATAGCATAACTCGACAGTGGCAACAATCGATTCTTCCAGATTCATATGGGAAATGATGAACGGGTCTAATCTCTTCTCAAAGAGAAGCCTGTGCCCTCAAACTTGTTACGTATTAACAGGTCAAACCTTTCTGATCCCTACTCAATATGAATGAAGAATACGAATTAATAATGACATCTCTACCCGCACATCCGAATTGATTGCTGGTGGCTGACGTAGTGACGTGAGAGCACGAGCACCCTTTGCCATCGGAGAACACGTACTGGAACGACTTGAACTTGCCGATGGGTTGGGCATAATTCATTATTTGCTGTTTGGTCTCTCAATTTAAAACTTTTGAGCCTAAACTAAAGGGCCGTCAATGACTATTAACCAATCAACAATTGGTGATCGTTTTGCAAATATCAATGAGTCATAAGACCAATTTAATAATCGTGTACCTAAGTTTTTTTACACTTATACATGGCTCCTAATTTTGTCCCAGATCAAGCACTGCTTATTACCACCATTACTAATCAGTTATCACCAATTTAATAATATTTATGTTGATGGTTTGAACAGTGTCACATATGTAGTCGTATCAATATTTTTTTAAATGAGATGTGGCTAAGACATAGTTTTAACTTGCATTCCATATCAAACTTGTTACCACAGTTGTTACCACATAAATCAATATCATAATCTAATGGAAGTTGTAAATTTCATACTGATTTAGATATAAGGAAAAGGAATAATGGGTAATTGTCAATTGGATACCATATAATCCCATTAGATATGCATATCATACAATTAAATACTATATGTGTAACATAATGATAAGCAGTGTTTTAGTCTAATATTAAAATTTGTCTAGTATCAGAAACATAACAAGTTATAAAAAAAACCCATACATTTCATCAGTATCAATAATTGTATTTCAATAAAACACTATTAAAAAAATGTAAAAAAGACAAATTTGCCAATAATTATAGAATATCAAGTAACGACTAATTCAAGCTGTACAAAATAATATAAAATAGGTAGGCCCTAAGTTGTATAAATGTCCTTAAAAAAAAAATCAGTCTTAAGCTTAACAAATTAAAAATATATATGGACATGCGTAATTTAAGTCAAACAAGACTTATTAAAGTACAAAATAATAATAATAAAAAAAACAGTCTAATGTAATGTTTTAGTTTACACCATTATTGTAGCTTAATTGATTTTCTAAACTATTATTTTCTTATTTACATATGAATATATTTTTTATATACATAAGTACCATTATGAGCTTTCTAAGGCCATAAATAAAATATACAAATATGTCATTTATTAATGTATAAACAGGTATAAACAGTATTCAAATCATTAAACTGAGCATATATAACTTAAAAATAAGAGTAATCATTCTAGCTACATTTTTATTGTTGTACATTTTATGGACTTAATGCCAATATAATATGCCAATGATACAATAAAATATATCTAAGTTTAAAATAAATAAATACATTGTACACAATTGAAGCAAACACAAAACGCTATAATAATACAAAAATTTGGAACTCATAAAAACATTTTTTAGCTTGCTTGCTTACAATAATATACTAAAAAATTAACAAAAGGTTCAAAACTACTAACTATGTGAAATTATATCATTATAAATGCCGAACATTTTGACATTATAAACCTTAACTTATAATTGATATTTTAAACCTTTTTGGTAATATTTTATACAGTATAAAATAAGCACATACAATTTGACACAATTGAGATTTAACATAAACACAACATACATGTATGAAAAAAATCTATGGGTTATACTTCACCAGCATTATAAATAGGACTAACTTAATATGATATTTTAAATAAACAATACCAAATCGACAATTCAATTTAATAGTTAATAATTTGTTTGGAATATTAGTGTGGTAAATTGAAAAAATAAGAATACAAAATAACATTGAATATAAAGTAACCAAAATAATAGTTTTAAGGTTTTCAGTTTTCACCCATTGCAAAATTGTTCATACATTTTTATATTTTCTAAAATATTTAATTTATGTATACAAAATAATGATTAAATAAAGTCCACAAATATAGGGTATACCTTTATTTAGTTCTCTTTACATATTTATGAAATTTGAATATGGAACATGAAACTAGATTATTGAAGTATAAATACCGAAGACTTAACATTTTTTTAACTCATGTATTTAATGTATGTTCAACATAACATTTCACTTTTTTTAAATGGAGACCTGGTTTTATTTTCAAGTTATTTTTATTATAGAGTTAATTAATTAGTTCTCTGTTGCCATAGATACATTAATCATCATACATAATATAGAACCTAACAACATTTTGATCACAAAATTAATGAAACACTTTTATTGTTTTTATAAATTTGTTCTAAAATAAATATAAAACATGAAAATATGGTATCACAATAATTTTCACGGGTAAACAAATGTGAAAACTTAATGAAACACATTTGGCAGTTAATACTTTTCCTATAAATGGAAGACAAAATATAATTGTTTTGAAGTTTTTCAGAAAAATTTTTGTTTAAAAAGTCGATGAAATGCAAATATTATTTATCAGTTATTATCTAAACATTAATTTGTTCTTGCAAGTAATAAATTCTTTTTCAAAATGCAATGTCACAAATAGCTTCAAAAATTAATTTTGGATTTATAACCCTGTACAAAATATGTACCCAAATAATTCTAAATGTTCAAGTTTTTCAATAAAACATGTACATACAAGGAATGTATAATATCTCAATTTATGTCAATAAAATAGTTATAACTTATTAGTATAAAATGTAAACAGCACTTGAAATTGTTTTAAAAACTTATCGCAAAGTTCGAGATCATTTTTATGTAGATAAACTCACTGAATATTTTTTGACAACTGAACATACAATTTATAAGTTCAAAGAGTGCCACGGCGATTTGTTTCAATCACTAAACGACACAATTCTATGAGGGGCTCATAACCAATGTCAAGCAACAAGCAAATAGCACAATTGCAAGATTGTTGTGGAACACGTCAATCTGCTATTAAACCCTGTAAAACAAACAATATGAATTGTACATTTTTAATTTATTTTTATAAATAGTTTGCTGTGTATACCTGAGATGTGACAGCCAGTTGATCTTTCAACAATCTAAAAGATGGACGATCTTCAGGACAATGGCTCCAACATTTACGCATAACCTTTAAAAATGTATACACATTTTAAAATAATAATTAAATACAAACATTAATTTCTAATTTAATTCTATTCAGAAAAATATTTACCTCGTATACTTCTTTGAAACACATTTTCGGTTTTTCCAAAATAATGCCTCTTTGTACACGATCAACAACTTCAGTGTTTTTAAGACGTCCATATGGCATTTTACCACAAGTAAATATTTCCCACATTAAAACACCTAAAAAAACAAAAAATTATACTCCATACTGAGTTAATACGTAAATGTGAATATTTTTATACTTACCATAAGCCCAAACATCAGATTTGGAAGAAAATCTAGTATAATTTAAGACTTCAGGAGGAGCCCATTTAATGGGAAATTTGGTACCACCAGAACTGGTATATTGATCATCGAGGACATACCTTATAGTACAATAATAAATTTAACATTTTGATTTAACCATGCATTAAGTAATATTATTGTGTTTATGTATGAGCATAAGTTATTTTAAATTGATTTGGTTTTATTTAGAATTATATGCTTAGGGAAATGCCTGAACAGGAAATCTTAAGTTCTAGGCTTTTACAAACATACACAACCTAGTGATTATTTACAATTTACAACATAAATAATACTATCAATAGTAAACAAATTAATAATATAAGTTTTAAATTTTAATGCACAACATGTATATTATTAGGTGTAACCTAATATTTTAAATACCTGGCTAATCCAAAATCTGCAACTTTTACAACATTTTCTGAACCCACTAAACAGTTTCTAGCAGCAAGATCACGATGTATGTAATTGTGACGTTCTAAATAGGCCATCCCTTTGCAAACCTAATAGTTCAAATAATAATTTTAGAAAAAGTATATTTTATTTTTAAATGTATTGAGAAAAGACATTTACCTGAATACACATGTCAAGTAATAAGCCATTGTTTCCTCCTAAACTATTTTCATGTCTCCTGAGATAATTCAGCAGTGATCCATGTCTCATATACTCGGTAACTATATAAATTGGGCGATGTTTGCTACAAACTCCATAAAGTTGGACTAGATTCTGGTGTTGGAGTTTCCTGAATAGGGCAAGTTAAAATATAATAAATATGGTTAAATACACAATGAAACCAGCAATTTTACTTTGTATTATATTAATTGTAACACTGTTTAGTGCTTACAAGACTTACGTCATGACTTTGGCTTCTTCAATAAAATCATCTTCAGACATGGTGCCTTCTTTCATCATTTTGACTGCAGTGTCAATGGAACCTTTCCATTTACCATGGCGGACCACACCAAACTGACCTGATCCTAGTTCTTCCAACAACATTAGTTCTGCAGGATCGATTTCCCATTTGTCTACAAACCAATATAAATAAATAACAGAAAAGTTAAATAATTATAGTTTAAGCTTTTACCATGACTAAGGCCAGCTGTAGCAGGAACAGGACGATCACAAGGAGAGGCTTTTAACCGTGATGCTAATCCCCCACTGTTGTGACGATGGTAATTAATTAATTCTGGAATAGTTGAACAGCAATGTTTTTCGCTTAAAAAAAAATCTCCTCGGCTATTTTGTTTAATGTGATAATGCTTCACATGAGAATGTGGCCTACAATAAATATAATAGTATAATAGTTAGTTAAAATAAAAATAAACACAAGTTCAAACACAATTAATATTTTATCAATACAATTAAAAACAAATATCATCAACAATCATATTGAAACAAATTGATATTAGATCAAATGTGTGACCTATACTATTTTGTTATTCTGTGTTAATGCTCATATAGAGTTAAGTCTCTTTTAATAACTATGGTAGTTTGCTTAAATTACAAATTAATTTTTGCTTATTAATTTTCTCTAAATTTAATAGTTTAACATTTTTTACAATTAATTTTTTTTCTCTTCTTCTGATGGGATCAAACAGTGTTATATTTAACTGTATTTCTATTCATACTACTTCCAAACTATGTTAATTGTTATATACTTATACATATTTAAAATTAAATTTATAAAATAATAGTAAATGTAAACTGCAATACTCAAATAACCATTGTAATATAGCATTAATCTATTTAAATAATTTATGTAAGCTTAAAACTAATATTTTTTTTAAAAATTTTAGGAGTAGAAATTGTTCTACTAATGTTTTTATAAAGTCCAGCCCAAGCATCATTGGCGTAATTTTATACAACATATTAGTTTTCATAGCTATTAAAAAAAAAGTTGTAAGAAAAAAAATTTTTTTTTGGTTCTTTAATATTATCAAACTAAGTAAATAAAAGTACTAAATACAATTTAAATTTCACGGATGTTATGAATTTGTATTCATAAGTGTGAAAAATATTATTTATAAAAAATAAAAAGTATACAAAAAAGTAATAAAACTTTTAAAAAACTTACACTTTTGTGAAAAGAGATAATGTATAAAGACCTTTGGTTGACGAATTTCTTACAACAAAACATCCTTCTTTATCTTCTTGTTTGAGAAGAGACTCAGCTCTCTGTCTTGACATATCTCCAACATACCATCTTAAAATACAAATTATATGATAAATGTTATGAACTTAAAATATGTTTTACATTTATAATTTAACTATGAATGATTCAAATTAAAGTTTTTAATACCTATAGGCTATAATTATTAATTAATAACTCATTAGATTATAATATAAGTTATTAGTTATTAATTATTTTAACTAACTAAACAAATTTCCTGTAAACATAATTCTGTTATTGTGACTACCACAGGTTAGCACTAAGTTATACTATTTTAAGATGATTTAGTTATCTACAAGACAAAATAATATAAGTATGTTTACCCAATAAAACTTAAAGCGTAAAGCATATGCCAACCAATCCGACTCGGATACTAGATTAATTTTGTTTTACAGAACTTTATATTACACTTCTAAAACATCATTTTTAAGTTAACTTGGATTTGTGCCCTTAATATTTATCACTTCAATAAGATACTATACAGCAATTTTTCACTTTTCATGTCATGGTAAATTCCAGATTTTTGAGGTGAAAATGTGGGAGTTAACAGAAGTTTGGTTTGTTGCAAGCTGTACTTATATAATTTTATCTTGTAGATGAAAAAATTTTTCATAAATAATATAAGATAGAGTTAACCTGTGGTAAGCGGCAATCACAGAATTAAGCTGAGAACCTGTAAATTGTATAGTTAGTAACAATAACCAATAAAGTGATAAGTACCAATATAAATATTATATACCTATATATCTATGACAATATTATGAGCATAATAAATACAAAATAAATGTACAAGTAAAAAAAAATATTTTTTTATAGGTTTGTTTAAAACTTGATACTGTATTTAACTATTTAAGTACCTATAATAATACTCACTCATATTTTTGAAGTCCAAGAAATTCTTTTTCTTTAACATAATTACTAGGAATATAACCTATAGCTCTGTAACATTTTAAAATAATATTTCAATAAAAATTTTAAAGTATCTCGATGTTGGTGACTTAAAAGTATATTATATTTGCTTACCCATGCTCATCTCTTACTTTCCACCAATGATCTTGAGAATCATCAATGACGTCATATTCACATCCCTAAAAGGATTTTAAATAGTAGTAACAGAAATAAATCAACAAATTAAATAATATTATAATAACAAAATATAAAATTAATGTAAATATGAATGTTTTGGCTTACTTTAACTAAAGTCAAATCCCCAGGCTCAATTGCTTTAAAGGGATAGAGAGCAGTCACTACCTTAATTCTTGGTACTTGGTCCTGATGATAATGGAAAATAAATACATTTAATTAATGTAAAAACTTGTATTTTGAATATATAAAATATTTAGCTTACTTTTAGCTTAGCTGCTGGCGTTCCACCCGGCATTATTGGGCTTGCTGTTAATGCTGTGAACAAATACATATTTGAGATTAAATAGTGTATTCTACAAAATATACCAGACATATAATTTTTAATCATAACATTAGTAATCCAAATAAAATAAGAGTATATCTGTTAACTAAATACAATGAGGTCAGATAAAATTGGATTTGTGTTACCAGTCATGGTGAATTGACCTCAACTAAGCAGAAGCAACTACCATGTAAATTTCACTTGGCTTTATTTTATACTAAGGCTCAGAAATTATTTCAGTAAATAACTTATTAAATTGGTTGCAATATTGCTGTAAAAAATGTACAAAATTGCAATCTCTATTTTTATAATAAGAATTATAAAATAAAAAATAATAAAATCGGAATTGAACATTTAATATTTAAAAACATTATAAAAAAATGGTCAGAAATATATTACCGTGTATCAAACTCAAAAACATATTTATTTTAAAATATTTAAACAAAAATGTAAATAATAATTAATTTTATAGTAATAAATGTATTATTAACACAATGACACTTGAAATTAACGTCTTAGTTTTCGGCATTTCGACAACAAATTCCGAAACTAAACAACAATATACGCAGCGAAACGAGCAGTTAACATTATAAGTGCAATGCAAGTACATAACCAAAATTATACTAAAAAGAAATCATTAATAACAATTCTTACATGCAAAAAACGGATTGTAGATTATTTATCAAAAAATAGATTGACAAAAAAAAACGTGATATTGCCCATAATTATAAATACTAAAATGCATTAAAACACTTTAACACTGCATTAACACTTCGAAAAAAACACTAAAATATTCTTCGTTACACACTTCATGTTGATTGATTCATTACATAATATAGCTAGGTACTACTTATATGAATTATGAAAATGCATTTTAAGCCCACGTATTTGGCATTTTATTGTTAGTTAACGCAATTTTAAACTTATTGTTTTATATTTTAAACGAGCAGTTTCATTTTAATGTTTGCATCAAAAAAAAATTTGTAATCATATTTTTTGTATAATTTAAAATTAGTATTTAGATAATGTATATAATTTGTTGATGTTTAAGCTATTATCAACATATGCCATTACAATATTGAGAAAATCATAAAATTGTTACACAAATAATGTCATTTCGTAGTAATTTTACACGGAAAGAACATAGTCACGAACTAGTCGACGACATACAATTTCCACCATCGATATTTCAAAACGAAAAAGAATAGTACCTCGTACCAATAAAAAATATATAGTACATTTGTTCGTTGGAGAACAACTATTGTTTTGTTCCAATATAATAATCATAATAATAATAAGATCGTCCGTCTAGAGTCTACACTCTTTACTTGTATAATCGTTGGTTTCTTTTATATTTTTGTAAGCGGATCGGTGGACCATTCCGTCTGTTACCTTTACCATAAACAGAACAGAATACTAAGTCATTCACCTGATGAACGCCTTTCCCACTTTTTTTTCGTATCTGAACCATCTTCTTTCTCTATCTTACCCTAGGATAATATACAATACATCAGTGATGTACACTGCATACTCGAGCATTATGCAAAGACAATTACGCCTTTATGTGAACGATGTAAGGAAGAGGAGGCAGAGGTGAAACCCAAAGACCATATGTGTGCGTGTGTGTGTGTGTGTGTGTGTGTGTGTGTGTGTGTGTGTGCATTGTCTCAAACAGAGTTCCAAATATAATGCGCCCTATTCTTGTATGCGTGTAAGGAGTACCGAAATAAAATACAGCTGTGTGTGTGTTTCAATGAAGGTGGTCTACAAATATTTTATTTATTTGCTTTTTTTTTTTTTACTCGGAATAATATCTCCCCCACCGTCGAGTGAAAAAGCATTACTCAATTTTATTATTCAGGAAAAAAACCGTAGCAGTCGTAAAATAATGTTGGTGATTCTTGTGGAAAGAGTAACACAAAACAAACCACAAACAATATTAAATCCAACCAAAACACACGGTTTCATCACGTAATATAATATAGGTACGAGCATGATAAACAATCACATTCAAATAAATAAATTAAATTACTGAAATATTAGTGAACACACACTAATCAGTGATGACTAAATAGTGATAAATATTATATAGTTTCTATAACTTGTAAAAAATGATGTTATGAAAAAAAAGTTCCATACATTGATTTAAACTTTATCATCATATGACAATTACTGGATCATTTAATAGTATGATGATTTATAATTATTACATAGTATTTAATAATATATTATCATATAATACACAAATTAGGAGATAAAACTAACATTGAGGACCACATATTATACTAAATGAATATGGTGACTAATGGCCCTTGCTGAACAGTTGTGTTTACGGACCAAAAAAAAAAAATATATGGTAGGTACCTGTATTATTATTAATTATTATTAATTATTATTATTACCAACCATATTCTATTAAAAACATTATTTGATCTTAACATTTTAGGATAAAATATTGGTATTTTCATAGCATATAACATAAATCAGTCAGACAAAGGGTTAATAGAAATTTTATAATTCATTTATAGATCGAATATTGACCGGAACATTTCTTTGGTCAAATGTGAAAACATAACATATATTTATGGCTAGCCACGCGTGCCGATTATAAGTGTCTACATTTGTTCAAATCGTCATATTTTTGTACATCAGTAATTAAAAAAAAGGTTTTTATACAAACATTACGGAGATTAAAATAATAAATAAATATTAACTACAAAGTTAAACAATTTAGAAATATTATAATAACCTATACCTATATATTATATTATGTTAGCCTTTAATTTATAATATATTCACCCCGAAGGATCAAACACATAATTCTTTACTTGAAGATTAAAAAATCAGGTAAATTTATCATTACGATTAATTTAACTAAAACGATTGTTACACTTTTTTAAATTGTTAAGGATTGACTAACTAACCTTAAATATATAAAGTCCACTTACAAAAGTAGTACGTAATGGCATATGTAACTATTACTGATTAATTACTATTTAAAAAAAATCAAAATCTGCATATTATCAAATTGCACAAGGATGAACATTTTTAGATTGTGATTTAACGGTAATATACTGTTGTATTATGACGATTTAATATGTGTTTTATTTACATATAAAATAACGTAGATAAACCTAAGTTTGCCTAAGTCAGAAGTCTATATGCATCTGAACATATACGCTAAAATAGTTACCTACCTATAAGACAATACTTTATAATTAATGAAACGAATTGTTCACAAATAATAAAATAAACGGGGATTACTTTATACCTACCAACTCTATATAGCCTATATCCGCCATTAATGAACAGGAAATTGAAGAAATGTAGAAAACGAGGGGACTATACAATAAATATATGCATGAAGTGTTCGTGTTTGCTAATATAAAATTATTACCGGGGAGTATATAATTAATGAAATGAATATAAGGGGAATAAACACCCGGTATAAAATTACATTATTCGATGACTCACTTAATTCAAAATGTTTCAAAGCATAAATATCACAAACGTGCGCTACCAAGTATCAAATAAAATTGTATTACCTACAACGAAAAAATTCAGTTTCAATTATAATAATAACGAATAATGTTCATGATGTAAAGATGAAACATATTGAGCAATACGACTAGTACCCAACATTAATGCTCTATAGGCTATCATTAATTTCCAAACAGCGATGTAACAAGTTAACAACAAAATAGTTGTAGTAGGTCTGAACGTCGAAACACGACATGGATGTTCTCGTAATCTCGTATAAGTAAACAAAATATGTGTATTCAATTAAAAAACTATATGGCATAGAAACCGAAATAAGTTTTTAATTGATAAAATTAGTTTTTGGTTTAGACATAATATGAATTATAAAAGTAATAAAGGTAGGTATAGTAAGAGTATAATTAATAATAATTAGAACGATAAAACAGTGAAATAAAAACTAAATAAATAAGTTAAATTTTTCTATTATTCTAACCTAACATTTTTTTCCACATAATATACAATGTTGCCCACCGTATTTTCTAACACAGGAAAACGGGAAAATGAATACGAATAAAAACGATTGCAAGAAGATAAGCTGAAATTTACTCACTTTTTGGGGAAAAGCGTATAAAAAGGATCTGATGAGACTCTCAGTTGACAAATTATTATAACAAAATAGGTAGGTAGGTAGGTACATTGTACTTAAATTACTGTAAATCAAACAAACAACTATAATAATGTACCTACCTGATAAAAATCGTAATGAATACAAAGGAGAAAAATGAATTTACCATTAAGGTAAAATTTATAATTAATATTAATATATGGCATATGCCCACTTTTTACGTTATTTTAAAGCTACGGTTGACCAAGTTTCTAGATTTCTCAATTCGATAAGGTTCAAAAAAATAGTTAATGACGACAATAATAATAACAAGTTTTATTAGGTGTACCACCAACCGCATTAACTAAGTGTTTTGGCATCCATGTATCTACTACACTAGTATATTTCACTAGTTCGATGGCACGGAAATTTAAACGCCTCAAAGCGATTTTTGTTCCCAAGATTATGGATAAAAAACATTGTGTACCTAAGAAATTATGTGTCGGTCAACTAGTCACGATTAACACTACCAGGCTATCATCATTATTAACAACAGTTAGGTTACAACACGAGAAATAGAAAACCAGTACTTATCGTCGCAATAACCATTTTAAATAACTTCAAATAAATACAATAAATTCTAGTATCTATACAATAATGAAAATAATTTTTATTTTAATTATAATAAGCAGCTTGTGAGGTGAACATAATCATGTTTAAACATTGCCTATAAAATATTTTTACAACTATAATATATGGCTATATTATTAAGAAATATTGAAGAATATTGATCATACATACACAATACATTTAAATTATAATTAATTATATTAATTAAATATTTTAAAAACACAGTATACGATTATAAAAGTGCATGCGCAACTATGTATTATTATATTAATACAATTA